TTCCTTTTTGGGTACTGATATTCGGGCAAAAAGGAACAATGCGGTTGGGGTCACCACACTTGAAACATTGCCCGACCTTGCCACGATCATCCCACACATTTTCGTCTATACCCATCTCCACCCAAGGTTTGCCTTCAACTATTCCCAGGTGCATTAGGAATGACCGCCAAGTCCTACCTATACCTCTACCCCTTCTGAAAGGAGAACCTCTACCACCTTGCGAGGGACCATAACCCCTACCTCCCACATAGTAGCTACCTTCGCCACCACCCCTCTTGGCAGTGGGTCCTCGGCCTCCACCTCATCCTCGACCTCGGCCTCTACCTTGTCGCCCTCCCCCACGGGCTGCAACTACCGCACAGTCCCCTCCCAGGGCAACTTGGCTGTTACTCTCTTCCTCTAGACCATAATCTATCCGATGATATGACAATGACTCTACAGCTCCTTCCTCGAAGGTGACCAGCAGATTATCCTTCCCTTCAATATTGTCGGATATGGTCCTATCCTTCTATCTCTTGCCAGCCTGCAAGTCCTTCCAATAGTGGCAATAATTTGCCTCTTGGAGGAAGTCAGCGTGGTCTACAACTATCTTGCTAAATTTCTCATATGTCATCCCTTCTTCCTTAGTGCGGGGGTATAACTGGGTCTTTAGGGGTTCAGGCAGCGCTCTAGCAAAGTTGTTCAAGATTTGCGCAGGGGTCAGTCCATGTTCCGGACATTGCAATAACTCGTCCATACTGGGTTTAAGCGTCAACGCACTCTTCCACTTACGATCACTAATATTGAGGATAAGGGACTCTGTACGGTGGGCTAGGTTCTTATCTTCAAACCGGTCTTTTAAAGCCTTGAAAAATTCCTCTATCCTAGTTCGTTGTGAGTACTGCACCATCGAGGTGCACCCGGCCTCCTTCATTAGCGAAATTGCAAAGCTTGTTGCGTCCCCTCCTAAACACGAACTTGCCATCAAACGCGGTCCCAATATGGAATCAACTGCGCGTACAGATAGGTATCCATAGCTGCCTCCCAATGGAAAATACTTTCTTCCCTTTTCCCAGTGTACGCCCAAGGGAGCTTAACGTTCATCTTCCCCCCTCTCTCTCCTTCCTCAGACTTATCTTCTTCTCTTTTTGCTCTCTCCTTCATGGGACCCTTTCCTTTTTTGTCACCATCCCCATCGTCATCACCATCTCCATCCCCACCACCCCCTCCTGCCTTAACTGCAGCGATAGTGTTTGCTATCTTATGGGTGAAGAGTTCATCTAATTGGTGGGTGTAATCCAATGTCTTCTTATCTATCCACTGGGATGAAGCACTGAGGAAGTAATTCCAAGTGCCTTGGAATTCTTCTTCGTGTTGCTCAACTCTCCCTACGGCTCTTTGTAATGCATTGAGCTCAAGGGTGGTGTGCAGTAGAGTATCTATTAGGAACGTAAGAGAATCCTTCACTTCCACTTCTTGGCCCTTTTGTTCCCTTAATGCTTTTTGAAGACTCTCTCCTTCTTCCTTCAACCTCTTCTTTTCTTCGTATTTTTTCCTCTTTTGAGCCAGCAACCGATTGTGGAGTTCACTCCGCTTCTCCGCCAACATAAGATTCTTCCTCTCCTGATCTGCACATGCTGCCAACTTAGCTATAAAGGCTTCCCTTTCAATATCTGACCATGCTGGCAATTCAGCATGAAACCCAAAATTTTCGACCCAATTTTCTTCCTTCACCTCTCTGAACCTCAACTCACCAGCTCGGCTAGTTTCTTCAATTTCGAGCACTACTTCCGCCTCAGACCTTCTTCTCCTTCTCTCCAATCCTTCTTCCTCTTTTTTTTTCTTTTCCCTTCTTCCTTCTTCTTCTTCTTCTTCTTCTTCTTCTCCTTCTTCTTCTCCTTCTTCTTCTTCTTCTAATTCCCTCTTCAGCTCTTCTTCTTTTTTCCTCATCTCCTCCATTTTCTTTTCTTCTTCTTCTATTCGCTTCCTCTCCTCCTCCAACTTCTTTTTAACTTCCTCCTCCTTCCTTTTCCTTTTCTCCTCTCTCTCTTTCTTCTGTTCAGTCATTTTCCTGTCTATTTTAGTCTTTTGCTCTCTAGTATATGGTTGTGTGGTCCCACCGGATCTCGTAGTTACACTCATAACGCATGTTTGGTGGAATCCTAATGGAAAGAGGAAGTGGAGGAGCGGATCCCACAACACGGACAAGGTCAACATGGCGAACATTGGGTAGTCATGCATGGTCATTGAAGGCACAGGTAAGTAGCCTCCACCTCCTCACCACTTAGACTTAACTCTCAACACTTGTCTAAGTTATACAATGTCACTACAACTACCCTGTCAGGCTGGTGGGCAACCAGCAGCTTAAGGTCAGCCAACAAGGACCTCGGAAATTATTTAACGACGGAGACAGAACGTCGTGCCCACCAGAGCCTGCAGGTTCGCTCTCAAGACTTGTAGCTCCTCACTGTGTCAACACCGGTTCGGTCGCATGCCGACAGTACTGGTCTTAGGGCTAGACAATTTGTTTTACGAGCGCTCACCGCTCATGCCCATGCTTCCTACTTTCGGGTGATCCATCCAGCTGCCAAGCTTCTATCCTAGACACAACCTATTCCATTCACATGTGTCTGACCAGAAGCTGACTCAAGACAAAAATCTAGATATGACGTCAAGTGATTTGTGCAGCAGCAGCGACACCAAGATGTGGGAAGGTACCATCACACTCATTCATTCATCGAAGCAAATACAGGGCCGAGGAGGGCGATGCACTTCATTCATGAACGTTCCGTCGAAGAAGCTCCTCGACGCTCCACGCATGCAGGTACGTACTCACCATCCCCCAACCTGGCCACTTCTTCTATGGCCTGCAGCCCCCATGTCAAACTCCCAACCTCCTTCTCGCCGGCCTTAATCTTGTCAGCGCTCAACAACAGCGGATGAAGAGGGTAACCAGCTCCGTTACCAATTGCATTGAGCCTCTCTGCTCGTCACCATGAGCACATACACATTCACACACAATAAGAGATCACACGAAGTCGACATTGGAGACCAGAGATGCGGAGTCCAGAATAAGTGCAACTTAGATATCCCAACAAATTATCACATTAAGCAGTTCAAAGTTTCAGTCACCAAGCGCTCATCAGTGCAGAGTTCAGTAACCCGATTCCAGCATCCTCAACCAAGGTAATAGACTCTCTGTCTCTGCCTCCCTCTCTCTCTTTCTCTCTCTCTCTGTCCTCTTCATGCATGCGCTCACTCTCTCCTCCTCTTACTGACTCCTTACTTGAGAATCTCGACTCTGAATACATCCACTGCTACCCAGCTCTATCCCTACTACTAGCTTATGCGGTTATGGCCGACTTCCCTTTCAATGCAGCGCTGCCCAACAGGGCTCTCGCGCGCATGGTACTCGCAGATAGCACGCAAGTGCTTCAGCAGCACTTCCACACTTCTTAGGAATGAGCAATCTGTCCAAAATGCGGCTGTCCACTCCTTATATTGACTTGGACTGAGCTTCAACTCGTCCCAGCCTCTGCTTCTTGTGGCTTGACTTGGTACTGGTGCCACATGCCCACGGCCTGCTTGCTTCAGAATGTCAAGGTCTGGTACTTTCCCAAATTTTCATTGGTGTGCTGCTGGTTGGGTCTGTGAGTCACGACTTTTCACCTGTGGAACATGACTTTTGACTGCGGGATGTGACTCTTGCCTCTGGGACACGACTTTTGGCTGAGAAGTGTCCTTTGCCTGTGGGATATGACTTTTCAATACGACTTTTCAATATGAGACGTGACTTTTGCTTATAGAACGCAACCTTTGCCTCTGGGATGTGACTGTTCACTGGGTGCCTGTTGGACTTGACTCCTAAGGTACCCGACTGTGACCTTTCAGACCTGGCCGACTTGGCCTGAGACTTCGACCCTGAAATTCGAATCTGGGGTCTGGAATGCCTTTCAGCACAAGCAAATGGGCAGCAAAGCAACAGCACAGCAACACACAGAGCAGCACTGCAATAGCTGCCAAACTACACGGCACACGAGCAAACTCTACAGAAGGACAAGGCAAGCAGATGGGCAGCAACACAGCAATGCAGCGAGGCACAAAGCATCACCAACATGACAACCTAACCCCACGCCAACCAGGCAAGCTGCAAGCAAAGGCATGCCAGGCAGGTTGGCAGCACAGGAGCACAGACAATGCAATCCACACATCCAACACGGACTCAAAGCAATCCATCACATCTGAAAGAACAAGTAGAACGCAGTAGACTGTTGGTTCCCACCACCTGCTGATCCAGGAAGCCACTCGGACGGACATCTCTCATCATGCATAGATCATATGCATCGCATACATCATGGACAGAGCGCCCCAGCTACCCAGCACCGACTATTAGCACTTCTAAGAGGTGCTCACATATACACACAGAAGTAAGAAAAGAAAACAAATAAAATAGACGAATCAGTGTGTGTGTGTGTGTGTGTGTGTGTGTGTGTGTGTGTGTGCGTGTGCGTGTGCGTGTGCATGTGCGTGTGYGTGTGCGTGKGCGTGTGCGTGTGTGTGTGTGTGTGTGTGTGTGTG